TATATATATATATATATTTATTGTGAATTCAATCATCTTATTCCTTAATGATATTATTGGAAATTCTTTATACATTTGTGGATAAGGATATATGTATCATTTTTAAAATGACTAGGTTAGGTCTCTACCATGTACGGTAATTTTCAATAACTACTTTATAATTATTAACATTATATATAATTATAACTACTTTGTAAAATGAACTAATTATGAAAGAGTCTATTATTAGCAAAATAGATAATTTAAAATACACATATATGTATATTTATATATATTTCACTAACTAATTTATATCATTTCTTCTATTAACCAAATGAATATCTTACAACTATGTATCTAATTCGTAAATAGATTTACTTTTTACACACTATTAATCCGTTCCCTCTTACGCGGTATTTATTTTTCTTCCCAATAATCAACTGGCTTAGAAAAAAATTCATATCTTTCCTAGCAAGCTTTTCAAACATAATTAAATACACAAATATTTTAAAAAATAATAATTCCTGTTGTGAAAATGGTAAGAGTAGTGTATAACACTATGTATGTCACAAATCATGTTAAGAATTTGATTTTCATGTTTTTAACTTTAGCTTATGGTATCAATATATATAGTGCAAGGATACATTAAATCTTTTTAATTTTCTATTTATATATAAGATTTGTTTCCTAAAGAGTTTTTTTTTTTTTTTTTTTTTCTTTTTGATACACCAGAAAATTATACTTCATTTTTCTAGATTCACAAAAGAAAAATTTCTCTTTCTTTTGTAAGAATACGAATATTTCTTTTGTTTGTTAAAAACTATTAAAATTCAATAAATGTTAAAAGGTTGTGCACACCAAATGAAATCAAAATCAAATTAATTTCTATAGCCAAATAGTATTAATGAAAAGAGAAACTAATCTTCAATTTGTCGTATTAAAAAATAAGTTAGATGAAGAAGTGAATTACCAATATATCTAGGCCACCATGTGTTTCTTGAATCCATTCAGCAAAATCCTTAATGGATTGAGGATCAACAATATCTAATTGATGGAACTCTACCAACAATCCAACTTCTTGCAATACTTTCACAGCCTCAATACCAACTTCAGTATCTCTTGAGGTAAGTACAACTGTCAACCCGTGACCAGCAAGTTGTCTAGTAATCTCAAAACCAATACCTCTATTACCTCCCGTTACTACTGCAATAGTTTCAGCAGTCCACCATCTATGATAATGTTTAAATACAAAAGCGATATTAAATTCTCAAATTAAAAGTAATATTTGATTTTAACCGTAAAATCTAAATCAGATTAATGAGTGGGTCTAATCTACACAATTTTCACAATAAATGAATTCATTATTAATTATTCAAAACATTACTAAGAAACATGAGAGTTAATGATCAAATAATATTACATAAATTTTCATTTTCTAAGTGCTTAGCTTGTACCACTACATTAGCATGGGATATTATTTAATAGATAATTTACCTAGTTTCATAGTGCCTATTGTACGCTTGATTAAAAATTACAACCAAAATGGATAGCACGTGCCTCCTCTTTACATACGAATATGAGTTTGTTATGGAAAGTAAATAACTCAATAAAAAATGATCAAGATGGTGAATAAATAACAGGAAAAAAAAAAAGAAGCAATAAATCACAATTACTTATATTTTTCATTGATAAAAATAAACATACAATACCCCTTTGTAAAAAAAAAATTCAATATCTCTCATTATTTGATTTCATTATTTTCTCACTAAAAAATATTTTCAGTGTTAGATATTAAACTTCAATCCATCAAAAATCTTCAATGATGCATTTAATTAAACTCAATAAATACTGCTATTAAGTTAATCTTGATTTACAAAGTTATAAATTTTGAATAAGATGAATGATGATTATTTCTTTTTCTTTGAAAATTCAAGATATGAGTAAATATTTTCAATATTTTGTTTGCATTTAATATATATATATATATATATATATATATATATATATATACTCTTTTTATCTCTAACTGTTAAGTTTACACACTTTGATTGACATAGAGTTTTAATCAAATTTAATTGACTCTTATTTATTTTTGTGATAATTGATATCTGGGTTTTTTTTGTAACAAAATTAGTGGGTAGTTGGATTTTTATCTATCTATTTATTAATTATCTATCACAGTAATGGATAGAAGGTTTTATTTATTATAGATAGTGAATAGAAGGTCCAAAGTGTTGTGAAGGAAATATTATAAAATGAGTGGGTCTAATCGATTTATGAAAAGAAAGAGATATGAATCGAAGAGGTACAACTTTAGAAGGATCATGTCAACATAGTAAAAACAAAAGGATTAATGATTTTGTTTTTTTTTTTATTTTATTTTTGCTAACCACAAGGGCAAATGTGATATTTCTTTAAACAATACAATTTTAAAATCTATGGTCAATTTTCTATTGAAGAGAATAATGAAAATACCATAAAATTTAATCCCCTAAGATAAGAAAATTATAATTGATCCATAAAATCAGAATTAATAAAAATTGATAAAAAATAAACACAATTTATTTATAAATTTCATTAGGCGATTGACCAAATTTCTTAACTAGTAGAATAATACGATTTTGCAATCTAAGACCAATTTTGCTATCAAAGAGAATAATGTGAGTGCCACAAAATAGTTGATCCCCTAAAATAAGAAAATTATAACATAATGTTGAATATATATATTTTATGACAATAAAAATAAGTTTTATCCATTAGATTTTAATATAATACTTATACCAATAATATCAGGGTAATAAATTTTCTTTTTTTTGATTTAATTTGATGAATTAAATCTGGTCATCATCTTAAGAAAAGGGAGACATGCATGATTATTTGTCAGGAAAAAAATCAATGTAGCATAATTTCATATATACCTTCCTTTTTTTTTTTTTTTTTTAATAAGAATTTATCTTTATTTATTTGTTAGAGTTAGGTGGTTGTATATCTATTTAAGCACATACGCAATAATAACATCATCACCTCCACCAAAAATAACAATTATCACAATAACAAATCATCTATATCCCATGGAAGAGGAAAAGGAAGGGGAAGGGGATGATCTTACTCCTAATCTACAATAGAGTTTAACTATATATAATATGAAAAAATAATATAAATTTATTTCATATATTCATGTTATATATATATATATATATATATATATATATATATTAGAAAAAAAAGGGTTGAATATTGATAAATACCGTCGATGATCTGAATAGGGAATGGTACGAAGCAACGAAATCTCTTGGAGCCTCTTTTCACGACGATCTTTTGATCGTTCTTTCCCTCCCCCCATTAATATTTTTTCTTCCTAATAATTTAAAATTATGTTTATTAGAATTAGAGGAAACTAAAAGGGAGATAAAGGGGAAAACTAAGAAAAAAAAATGACAAATTGACAAGAAAAATAATAAGAAGAGTGTATGCGCGAGGTTGTAGGATCTTATATTTCTCTTTAAAATTTTAGCGATAATAATTCCATTATTTAAGGTGTCACTTTATTATATTTTTTATTTTTCATTATTCATTTAAAAAATTGAAATTTATTGATAGCTAGTGTTTAACTTTATTTGATAATAAAATAAAATCATTTTAATAGGTATTAGCTATACACATGGGCAAAAGTAGTCATGAATGTCTACTCGTGTAATGATAATATCACCGATTTTTTTCTTTTACCAAATACCTCTGAGTTTTTGACAAATTTAAATTTCGACTCGTGTGAACACAATAATTTAGCATGACTCAACATTAAAAATTAATCTGACCCGACCTGATCTCACCGCGAATCCAATCTGACCCGATCCGAAGTGACACCTTTACATCAATTACATAGGTTTTAAAATTTTCACAAAGGGTGAAGAAAAACTTCACCTTTTAGCTTCATTTGCAAATTATCTTCCCAAACTACTTTCTCTCCTATACAATGATCCGAAAAGTGGTTATATCATTCAATTTACTTATTTGCCTTCATTAATGTTAACTATTCCTTTTTTTTAAATTCTTAAAAATAGTGTGTGGACATTTATACTCCTAAAAATATTTTCTTACATATATATTTTCCATCGTTAATGCTACCAACAACTAAAGTTGTGACATAAATTAAACCGAAAGAGCTTCCAAACGTGCGTGGCTAGCGCGCCTTAACCGCCCTAATATATGAAATTGTTTCACCATTTCATTACCACAAAAGGGAACTTGGATAGAAGAGTTTTACATATTGATGTCAAATGTGATCTTTGTGGGGGTTACGAGGATCGGAAGATCTACTACATATCTCTAGATTTTGTACAATTGTGCAATATGCATGGAGTTATGGAAGTCTTAACATTCATGTAGCACTAAACATAAATAATTCATTTGTTTACTGGTTTGTATACTGTATCTGACTACTTAAAGCCAAAATGGAAAGCATAGTCATAAGATCACTATTTTCATAGCGCTACACTATAGGGATTAGGGAGTTGGGGACTATGATTTGCAAGGACTATTAGATTTACTGATTTACAAGTAATATGAACTACACAATCCCAACTATAATTTTAAAAGTTGTATAGTAGCAGGGATAATCTATGAACAGTTCAATGGATAGTGATCAACGGTGTTGCATCTCTTGAAGAGGTTTTAGCTCACCCGCTAGAGGGTTTATGTGGGCTATTTTATGAAATTGGGGGGGGGGGGGGGGGGGGTGGTTGTGTCCTTCCTCAATGATAATACTAGTTTATGATTCCTAAAATAAGCGCTCAAAGAGATATGGATTATTCTAACGCCCATATTAAATGGAATTAGGTTTACAAATATATATGCTTGGGAGGTGCGTCTTATGGCTCGACACATGCTAGTTTACACATAGAGAGGAAAACCGGCTTAAAGGACTAAAAATAGGCAACACAAAGACTGTTGCATTCCAATACAAAATTTAGACTTTTTTTTTTCTTTTTTTTTTTTTGACGGGAAGCAAAAGCTTTTACTAATCAAACAATATGGCTTAAATCAGCCAACACAAGTGCAGTTACATCATTTGGGTAATCCTCCACCCAAACTCTAAGATCAATAAATTGATTACATAGTTTGGCAAGGGCATGTGCAACTTTGTTTCCACCTCTCTTCACAAAGGAAAAGGAGCAACTCTGACATTGCTGAGCAAGCTGCAAGATATCATTTACAATCGCGTCCCAAATGCCGTAGAGGGAACCATGCCTTTCACTAAATGGTAGAGCAGCTTCAAACAATCAGTCTCCAAGCACACACTTCTGAAGCCTGACTCCTTTGTGACATTTAAGGCGTGACGCATCGCAAGGGCCTCCACTACATCTACTTCAAAACAGCCTTCAACCTTGAGACAAGTTGAAATCACCACATCCCCAACAGCATCACGCATCACATCCCCAAAACCCACCCCACTAGGAGAGAATATCGCAGCATCGGTATTAATTTTAATTACACCAGCCAAGGGAGGCTTCCAAACACACTCAAAAATCGAGGGGGGTGGGGGCAGTGGATTAATATTACATACCTCTTTGGCGTACTCAAATTCTCCCATGAGACTCACAGCTTTGCGAATCACTTCCATTTTATAAAGTCTCTTCTTTTAGAAAGCCCACCTGTTGCGTCAAAGCCAAACTCCCCACGCAATGCACCAAAAAATACACCACCACTCCGAATCTTTGTAGGTCTCACGCACCGAGCAGCACCACTCTCTAAAATGTACCCCTACAAATCTCCCCACATCCAACCTCAAAGGAGAAGTATACCAAATCATCTTTGCATCTTCACATTTAACCAACATATGCAGCGTACTCTCGTTACATTCTCCACACATAGGACAAAGCACATCAACCTCTATACCTCTACAAGCAAGGTTACCACGGGCAACAACAACATTCTTGATAGCTCTCCAAGCAAACAATTTAAATTTTTGGGGAATTTCAGCACTCCAAATCACTCTCCAGTCAAAGAAACACCCACTATTTGACTCAGCCGCCATATCACGCCTTTGCTCATCAGTGATTAAATTATATGCGCTCCTCACCGAGTATTGACTGTCCTTAGTAAAGTGCCAAGTCCACGAGTCTTTTCAATCAACGAAAGGTATGGGAATGCACCGAATCTTACTCACCTCAGTTTGGGAAAAAATTGCATTGAGGACATTTAAATCCCATTCCCTATTATCCCATAACTGACGGACATAGGTGAGCTCATGAGCATCATCATTTTGGCTTGAGGCAACAGTGAAACCAGGGAGGTTTGGGACCCAAGTATCATGCCAAATATTGCTAGTAGCTCCATCCCCTACATTCTTCCTTACACCTTTCAAAAGGACCTCACGAACACCCAAAATAGACCTCCAAGTGTAACTCGAATTCGGACTAATCTTAGCCTCCAATAACGTCTGAGTGGGGGAAATATTTTCCCTTAAGAACCTTATCCATTAGGGAGTCTTCATTAGAGAGAATACGCCAAACTTGCTTTGCTAAAAGGGCCTTGTAAAATTTTTCATATTCCGGAACCCAAGCCCCCCTTGTCTTTTCGAAGAGTATAATTTCTCCCAAGCGACCCAACATATCTTCTTCTCCTCACCTTTTTGCCCTCAAAAAAATTGTCGGCATCATTTTTCCACCACCTCTAAGATACTTGTCGGAATCAGGAAGCATTGCATAGCATAAGTCGGGATTGCTTGGACAATTGATTTAATCAATATTGCTTTCCCGGCTTGAGATAGAAACTTCTCCTTCCACCCTTTTAGTTTCTTCCAAATCCGATCCTGAATATTCTGAAAAACTTGTTTCTTGGATCCACCAATGTAGGTTGGTAAACCAAGATATTTGTCATGTCCTTCGATAGCTTTACAAGAGAACTTCATCTGAAGCATATTTTTCCATTCTTGCTCAATGTTTCGGCTAAATGACACCTCTGATTTGTCCATATTCAGTTTCTGAACCGAAGCCACCTCATAGGTAGAAAGGATCCCAAGCACACTATCAACTTCATCCTCCGTCGCTCTCACAAAAAGCAAGCTATCATCCGCAAAAAATAAGTGAGAAATAGGCTTTACATATCTCCCAATTTTTACCCCATGAATGAGTTTCCTGCTTTCTGCATCTCTAAGCAAAGCTGACAAACCTTCCGCACACAAAATAAACAAGAAAGGGGAGATGGGATCACCTTGTCTATGCCCCCGACTAGACTTAAAATTCCTTGACGGTTGACCATCGACAAGCACATCAAACGAGGCAGTACTAACACAGTTCATAATCAAAGCCACAAAATTATCCAGCATGCCCAATTTTAACATCATTTTCTACAAAAACTCCCACTCCACTCTATCATATGCCTTGCTTATATCAAGTTTGAGGCCCAGATAGCCTTTTTTTCCTTTTTTTTTTTGTGAGGTAATGAAAGCATTCATAAGCCACAATATCCGTAATCAGATGGCCCGGAACAAAACCACTTTGTGACTCATGAATAATATACGAAAGACTCTTTAAATATATATCGAACTATAGAAATGATAGCGATATAAATATCAAGCCCAATTGGACATTGAATCATATTTGTCAAATCAACAAAAACTTTACATGGTACAATATAGTCAATATTTACAAGGTTGATAAGGCTCACTTTCTCGCTACTATGACAAATCATAACTAGTTTTCATCAATAACATATAATATTAAAACAGACACCAGGAATAACAGATATCACATCCTAGTGCTACTTTTTTCTCTCTCTCTCTTTTTTTTTTTTTTTTTTTTTTTTTTTTTTTTTTTTTTTGCTGCGACGACATCAACTACTTATGATAAAATATACTTTATATATATTTCACCAAATTATATAATTGTGATTCACTTTACTAAAAGAAATTAAAAATATATTTGTGATTTGTTAAAGGTTTTTACTGATAGAAAGTTTATGATCAGTGAAAGGAGAAGTAAAGAACAAGTAAAAGGAGATGGGTGAAATTGTAGTAGTATGGTACTACGTAAATTCTTATTATATAGCCAAACATTTACAATAAAATACACATGTGTCCTCTTATTGTACTTATGCATATAATTGATGTCCTAAGAAATTGTACATGTGAACTTCATTTGTTATTTTCTTCAACATGATTCACATATTTTTCATATTTTTTTAGGCAAAATTGGCCTCAACAACATGCACTTTTAACAAGGTGCACGTAACATCATGCACTTTGACTAGAAGCTATAACAGCGCAAACTTCTTTATTGGGTGAATAAAATACAAAAAATGAAACCCACCACTGGAGATTTTGTTGAAGCCATGGTATCTTTTAAGGAAATTTTTTAAAAAACCACCCCCAAATACACCACTTTTCTAAATAACCACCTTTTTTTTTTACGAATTTAAAAAAAAACCACCTGCAAAACACACAACTAGTAGGAATCACCACGCCCTCCCATATTCCGGCCTGTTTTCCGACTTACGGCCCACGTGTCACCACCATATTGGTCAAATTAAATAAAATTATGATAAAATAAAATTTAAAAAATACCAACCATCTTCCCCTTCAGCTCTTCTCCTGCCATCCTACCGGAAACACCCCACCCAAACCAACCACCTTCTGGACCACCCTCACTCAACTAGCGACCACCCTTGTCGGCGAACCCCACCATGTTTTGAATCCCTGCCTGCTCACGAACCCCACCAAGGCCCCACCCTGCTCACAAAATCTTAGCCAGCCTCCATCGTTGCCGCAAAACCCCAGCCCCCTCCATTAAAATCTTCGGCCCTTTTCTTTGACGAAGATGCCGATTCCAACAAAACAAGTATTCTTTCTGTCTCTCTTTCTTCCATTTCAATCAATTCATTGTTTTCCCCCTTTTTCAATTACTACACAAATTTTCAAAACCTAATTTATCGAACTTCATTTCCAATGTCTGATTCTTTTGTGGATTGAATATGAATGTCAATTTGTGTTGTCAAAAGAGATTAAGATTATCAACAAAGAAGAAGGTAAAAACAAAAGCAGCACCTGAGTCGGTGGCGGTGAAGGAGGAGGCCGAAGTTGCTGAAGTTGATATGGGTTTTGCAGCAGCGATGAGGGGTCGGCTGGGATTTGCGAGAAGGGATGGGGCTTTGGTGGGGTTCGCCGACAAGGGTAGTGGCTGGTTGCGGTGGGGTTGGGTCCCGAAGGTGGTTGGTTTGGGTGGTGTTGGTTGTTTCCGGTGGATTGCAGTAGAAGGGGAAGGGGGTTGGGATTTTTTTTTATTAAATTTTATTTTAATTTTTTTGATTTTTTTTTTTATTTTTGACCAATATGGTGGTGACACGTGAGCCCTGAGTCGAAAAACAGGCTGGAATGTGGGAGGGGGTGGTGATTCAAACTGGTTTTGTGTTTTGTAGGTGGTTTTTTTTTAATTTTGTAAAAAAGGGTGGTTATTTAGAAAAATGGTGTATTTGGAGGTGGTTTTTTTTTTAAATTTCCTATCTTTAATGTTTAATTATAATAAAGCATCATCTTGGATCGCGTGCCTTAAATTGCATGAGAAAAAAATGATCAAACAAGGTTTCAAGGGCCATTTAATTTGCAAGGGTCAATTTTGTGATCAAATTTAGCAAAACTTACCAAAAACACATTAATTTGTGTGCTATAAAATGTCTCGGTTATGGTCTAGGGTCAATTAGACCTTAAGCACTAAATATGAGGTCAAAATTTGCAAAAAGTTAATAATATATTAAAGATTCCACATCTTCGAGAAAAACTCTGATGTCGGGTTTCATTTATGATATTTTGTGTATTCGATGAAGAAGTTGGTGTTGTTACAACTCCTAGTCAAAATTCATGTTGCCACGTGCACCTTAATAATTAAAGTTCGTGCTGTTGAGCCCAATTTTGACAATACGTTATTGGAAATGCCTTTTCTTTGTAGAGGTGGATGTACCAAGCATGGTACATCCAGATTTTTTATTTTTTATTTTTTTAAAGAAGGTGCAATGAACATATAGTTGTTTTGTAAAGAACATATAACTGTTTTGTAAAGAACATATAGCTATTTTACAAAGAACATCCAGCTTTATGTTCTTTTTGTATATCTAAAGAACATCCATAATATTAAAAAAGAACATGATAATATATATTATGTAATGAACATTATTTATATTCACCCACCATAATCTAAAGACAGAATTTAAAGAATATTTCACAGTAAACAATGAACATTATGACACAAATAAAAATACATTTCACTAACAATCAAATAACACGGAGATAAATAATATTATTTAACAATGTGCTAGTTCTTTATAAAATAGTGTCATGTTTATTGTTATTAATAGCTCTATGACCTGAATAGACCTGTTTTATATTTTAACCAAATTTAAAAGAAACCAAATATCAAGAAAAAAAAAATCCCAAGTAAAAAACAAAAATCAGTCTTCGTCTTCTTTCTTTCTTATTTTCGTACAAACTCGAAACTGCAAAGTACAAACCTAAGGAAGAAAACCCACCCTCACCAGCACATCAAAACCAATTTAAACCAATTATATCAAAAACACATCAAAAACAATTAAACCAATTTTCTAACACATCAAAACCAATTAAACAAAAAGGTACATGGATACTCTTCAAATGGGACAGTATTAGAAAATGTTACGGTGAAGACGAAGGCACTCTCTGGGTCGTGGGCCTTGGGCTTTCTCTGACACCTTACTTCCACGGACCAGGTTCTAACTTGCGTCACAGGTTATGACCTGAGCACAGGGATAAAGGGATTTGCATTGATGCAGACTTTGCTAATACATCCTTCGACAATCTGCTAATACAGAGGGATCTGACAATCTGTCTGGCGATGGCGAAGCACTACCAGCGAGGTCGATGGCGTCCAGCGATGGCGAAGCACTACCAGCGAGGTCGATTTGAAGACTGAAGTGACGGCTGAAGCACTACCTCTGACTTTGAGAGGAGAGGAAGAAGAGGAGAAGTGGAGAAATGAGAGAAGAGCAGTGACGGCTGAACACTGAAGTTATTTTTTTAGGGTTACAAACAACTAAACAAGCTGTATTTCAACTTTTAAAAAAAAAAAAATATTTTAAAACACAATTTTACTCCCCCGGTTTTAGACTGGATCCGAAATCCCTGAATTTCAAGGACCGGGATCGGACCTGAATCTACAAGTCCGGATCAGGTCCGGTCTCAACAAGTCCAATTCAGGTCGGTTTTCAGGTCCGGTCTCGTTTATGTACACCCTTAAATGTGCTCATCAATCAATGAATTGAATCTAGTCACAAACTTATCTCATAATAAGGATAAACATTTGAATTGGCTATAAAAATTCAACCAAAAAACTTATTATAATAGGAAAAAGTGATCAACATACAATTGATACTCAACTAAACAAAAGAAATGACAAAAACCCAAAAATGGTTTTTAACACCAAAAAAAAAAAATGTATTTTAACATCAGACAAACTATAAAAATGGTTTTTACCACCACTTAACTGATTTTGTTTAGGAATCCGTTAAGTGGGGTCATGAGCCACGTGACACTTTATTATTGGCCAAAAAAGAAAAAAAAAATAAATAAAAAAAACAAAAAAAATAAAAATAAAAATAAAAAAAACCTAAAACTACCCAGCCACCCTAGCCCAAGCCACCACCTCCCCACCACTGCCACCTTCTTCTTCACCTTGACCCACAGTCGCTGACGCAGCCACCGGCGCACCACCTCCCCCCCCCCCCCAGCGACCTAAACCCATCCCCACCCTTTTTCCCGCATCCCTAAACCACCCTAGCCCCACCACTGCCATCACCAGCCATGAATTTCGATTTGCTCTGATTTTCGATGTGCTCTGATTTTATGGTTGTTACTCCAACAACGGCTACGAATTCGGGCATTGATGGCCGAAACGGCCGATTAAGGCCACTCAGCCCCAAAACCGGCCGATTTCAGCCATTAATGGCCGAATTCGTCGCCGTTTTTGGGGAAGAAAGGTTGCGGAAACGGCCAACCCCACCACCCCTGAATCAGAAACGACCAACCCCACCTAACCACTAACCCGATACCCAACCTCACCTTCGAACACCCAAACTTCACCGGATCCCGAAACCCACCCCAACTTAGCCCCAAAACCGTAGTTGTCGGGACTGATTTCGAAGGTGGGGGAATGGTTCAATGTTGGTGGCGGTTCCCGATTTCTGGGCTGCGGGAAGGGAGGAGGAACCGGTTTTGGTTTTTTGGAAAGCGAGGGTACGCCGATTTCCGGTGTTAGGGCTGGTTCGGTGGCGAAACCCGGTGGCGGGGGGCTGGGAGGGGGTGGTTCGGGAGTTGGCTGGGGA